ACCTCACTGCTTACCCCTTTCTCCAGATCATTTATGAATAAGTTGAAAAGGATTGGTCCCAGGACTGACCCTTGGGGTACACCACTAGTTACCCCTCTCCAATCTGAAAATTTACCATTTATTCCTACCCTTTGTTTCCTGTCTTTTAACCAGTTCTCAATCCAAGAAAGGACCTTCCCTCTTATCCCATGGCCATGTAATTTACACAAGAGCCTTTGGTGAGGGACCTTGTCAAAGGCTTTCTGAAAATCTAAGTATACTATATCTACTGGATCCCCCTTGTCTGCATGTTTGTTAACCCCTTCAAAGAACGCTAATAGATTAGTAAGACAGGATTTTCCTTTACAGAAACCATGTTGACTTTTGTCCAACAAATTAAGTTCTACATGCCTGCCAATTTTATTCTTTACTATTGTTTTGACTAATCTGCCAGTTACTGAAGTCAGACTTACCAGTCTGTAATTGCCGGGATCACCTCTAGAGCCCTTTTTAAATATTGGTGTCACATTAGCTATCTTCCAGTCATTAGGTACAGAAGCCAATTTAAAGGATAGGTTACAAACCACAGGTAATAGTTCTGCAATTTCCCATCTGAGTTCTTTTAGAACCCTTGGATGAATGCCATCTGGTCCTAATGATTTGTTAACATTAAGTTTTTCTATCTGATCCAAATCCTCCTCTAACGACACTTCAATCCAGGACAGTTCCTCAGATGCATCACCCACAAAGGACGGTACAGATTTGGGAATCTCCCCAACATCCTCAGCCATGAAGACTGAAGCAAAGTCAAATATCATTATGGTATACGAGTTTCAATATTTGGGTAGTTTCAATACATATTTGAGATGGCCCATATGTTTTCAGCTCCATTTGGGTTCATTTTCCCCATATCTAGATAAGCATTGTCATGTCTGTCAGCCCATTTAATTTGGTTCTAACAATTTTAGTTCTAGGCCAAAAATAACTTACTTTTCAAAACGTAGCTCCTAAGGGTATGTCTACACTACAGCACTATTTCGAGTTAATTCGAATTAACTATTTCGAATTAAGTTAAGGTAATTTGAAATAAAGCATCTATACACAAAAACTATTTCGAAATAGCGTGTCCACACTGAGCGGACCCTGAACCGAAGTTAAGGCTGGCTGGAACCAGTGCTGGCAGGGCATCAGGTTAGGACTTAAGTGTGTGGGGTTGCTGCCTGAGGCTAACTGAGCTCCGTGCCTAAAGGGACCCTACCCCCACCCCGGACAGACTTTTCTCAGGATTCCCCGCTTGCTTGTCTACCTCGATGAGGAACACCACAGTACTCGGCCACATGGAGCCAGAGCTGCTCCTGTGCGTCTCGTGGGGTTGTTGCCATTAGCCCGGTTGCACTTGCTACAGGTTGCCATCCGGGGGGG